TTTTTTTTTTTTTTTTTTTTAAGTACACTACAGAAAAAGTTTGGGATTTTTTTTTTTTTAAGTAAAAGTGTTTTTCTTTTGCTCACCGAGACTGCATTTATTTGATCAAAAACGTGGTAACAATTTTAAATATTATTACAACTTAAAATAACCGTTTTCTATTTGAATACATGTTAAAATGTAATTTATTTCTGTGATCAAAGCAGCATCATTCCTCCAGTCTTCAGTGTCACATGATCTTCAGAAATCAGTATAATATGCTGATCTGCTGCTCAAGAAACATTTCTGATTATTATATGATGAAAAAATATTTTGTGAAAACCATGATCAATTTTTTTCAGGATTTAAAAAAAAATAAGAAGAGCAATTATTTGAAATAGATATGTTTTGTCACATAAATGACTTTACTGTCACTTTTGATCAATTTAATTCGCCCTTGCTGAATAAAAGCATTCATTTTGGCTAAAAATGGCAGTGCCACACTTTCACACTTTCAAAAACACTTTCAAAAATATGAAGCAGATGAACTGTTTTGAACATTGATAATAACCAGAAACATTTCTTGAGCAGCAAATCAGAATGATTTCTGAAGATCATGTGACACTGAAGACTGAGTAATGATGCTGAAAATACAGCTGCGCATCACAGAAATAAATGACATTTTACGATATATTCACATAGAAAACAGTTATTTTAAATTGTAATAATGTTTTACAATTTTACTGTTTTTACTGCATTATTTCAATCAAATAAATGCAGCTTTGGTGAGCATTTAAATTTATTTAAAAAATATTAAATAATATTCCAAATGTTTGGCATATGTCCATATAACTTTTATTAACATAATTGTATTTAAAAAATCTGTTCTACAGCAAGAAGACTGAATCTCCGACAGCAATGAGACGATCAAATGGAGATTCCAGCTGAAGTAGCGAGGAAGTCCCAAAAGAGATCTCAACAATATCTCAAACTGTGCTCAGATCTCCATATGAACTCAATAATTTCTCATAAAATGATCTGAGCCGCTATGCGCATTCATTTCACAGCTCCAGACTCTTACTGGATGATTACAAGTGACTCAATCGAGTCCATGCTTAAACGAAACAGAATGATCTCCATCGCATCTCCGGAGCAGTAATAGTGTGCTTTATCTCATCTGGAGCTCAATCAGCATCCAAAGCCTGGAGTTTTAAAGCCCTGCTGTGAGAGTCTCACCAAAGTGCGGATCAATAAAGTCACATTCCCAGGGGCCGCCTGCGTCACGTCTCGGCCGGAGCCAACCTGCTGGTTTTGGGCGAGTGATCGAACTCTTTCCAGGTGCCTGAGCTACACGTGGGGCTGCGGTTGGCGATCTTGGTGAGCAGGGTGGTTCTCCGTAGGCTGCTGTCCGAATCCTCCTTCCGGAAGCTCTGCTGGATCTTGTGGCAGCAGGGGAAGCAGTGAGCGAAATCCTGCAGGAGGTGTCCGCTGAAAACCATGTAGATCCACGGGTTACAGCAGCTGTTCAGACTGGCCAGCAGCGCAGACAGAGTGACGGCCGTGTTCTCCGAATCTAGACGCGCACAGACACATAAACAATGACTGTAAATGCTTGAAATAAAGATACTCTCCAATAAATAGTCCAATAAATAATTATTTCCACAACACAGTTCCTGTGTCTCACTGTTGGCTGTTTACGGTACACTGTAAAAAAATGATTGTGATTTTAACAGTAAAAGACTGTAAAAATGCTACAGTAAAAACCTGTTAATTGGTTATCAGTAACTTTCCATACTATATGCGGTGAATAACAGTAATTACATTTAATGTAATTTTACAGTAAAATACTGTTAAAATTACGATTTTTGGAAGTGAAAAAGAAAAAGTCATTGTATAATTTACAGTGAAAAACCATAAATTGACACTCCCAGAATTCACTGCATGACATATTTTTAGTTTTTTCATTGAAGTAACTATGTTTCTTCTTAGTTTTTGCTTGTCAGTTGTGTACATTAGGGCTTTATCTTACATCTAATGTTGTTAAATTAATGTTTACTGCATTATTTCAGTATCATCTGTGTTACCATGTTGGTGTTCAGTGTTTGTGTGAATGACACTGTGCACCTTCTATATATATATATATATATTAGTATTTCCCTTCTCAGCTTGTGGAAGATCTGTTTGTGATGAGCTTTTGGTTAATCGTTTATTAACATTACATCAGTTAATGAAATACGGTATTTTATTGTGAATTTAAGTTAAGTCTGTAAAACCTAAAATATTGCTACCATATTTTTAACGGTGAAATTCTGGCAACCACAGCTGCCGGTATTTTACCGTAAATGTCCCCGATTTTTTTTTACAGTGTAGCAAAGCAACACAGCAACAGTGATTAACATAGATTGTAACAGTTTATCAACAGCTTAGAACATTCGTCATCCAATCAGAATCTACAGTCACTGTCTCAGCCAATCAGCATCCAGGACCGGAACTATATGTTTATAGTTTACAAACACTAAAAAGATATAATCTATAAATATAGATATAGATGCATTTTTAAAAAGATGTTTATAAAAATAATATTATATTGCAATTTTTCTCCAAACTAGATCTTTAGACTTATTTATACAGCAGATAAAAGTATCATTAAAAAAAAAAGAAGTATAAGAAACATAAACTTTTTTTAGTTGGGTTTTAATCATTTTTAACCAGATGTTATGCCTATTATTTCTTATTTATATATAATAAACAAATCATTCTTTTTCTTTTTAGTTTGCCAAGCATACAGTAGAATGTAACATTTGATCAACAGCTCAGAACATGCGTCATCCAATCAGAATCTAGAGTCACTGCATCGGCCAATCAGCATCCAGAACCAGAACTATAATAATAAGTACCGTATATTACATAGTGTCACTTTTTAATCCAAAAGAGTCAAAGAGATATCCAGATTTATTTACACAGATAAAATAATCCATATAAAAGTTTTAAAATATACATAACGTTTTCTCATGTTTTTGTTGTTGTTGTCATTTTTAACCAATTATTATGCATGAGCGTTGCCAGATATTAGCATAAATAAATATGACAATTTTTTTTCTAGTTTGACAAGCATCATATCGATAAGCAAAAACATTGTGTCAACATTTCACAACATGTGCCTTAGAATCAACAGTCACTGTATCGGCTAATCAGCGTACAGAACAATATGTTTTATAAAAACAATGGTGTCTTTTTTCAGCAAAAAGAGGACAATAGATATCTATATTTATTTATACAGATAAAATTACCAATAAAAATGACAGATTTAAATTTTTAAAAAATATTTTTCACATTTATTTGGGTTTTCAGTCATTCTGAACGAGGTGTTAAGCCTTCTGTGTTGCCAGATATTAGCGTAAAATAATATATGACTACACTAATAATCCATTTGTTTTGATTAAAGTAATTTGTCTTGTAACCATGTGAAAATGAGGTGAAATTGGGTTAACTAAACATCCCATAAGCTCGTGTGGAATTTTAATGGGAGATTCACACATCCTAAATCTGCAGCTGTTCTGTTTAGACACACTATTCTGAACCTCAGAGCCGTTCTGGATCTCACTGAGGGAGAAGATGAAGTACTGAGGGGTGCTGAGGAGCAAACTGCTGACCCACGTGCCTGCGATCATGATGTGGGACCTCCGGGTGGACTGCTGGAGGGTCTTGAGAGGGTGGCAGATGGCGATATAGCGATCTAGAGTCATCATAACCATCATGTAAGTGGACGCGAACATGCCCATCACCTGCAGGTGCTTGACGATCCTGCACAGAAAGTCCGGTCCGTAGAAACGGAAGGTTATTTCCCAGCACAGCTGTGGAAGGACTTGGAAAAACGCGACCACTAGGTCTGCCAGGCTCAGGTGTTTGATGAACAGATGCATGCGGGAGGTTTTCTTCTTGGTGTTGTGGATGGCCACCAGGACGCTGCAGTTCCCGATCACGGCGACCGCGAAGGTGACGCTGAGGACCGCGATCTCGATTTTCGCGACTTCTTCGTCGCGTCCGAACGGGTCGGTGGAGTTGACCGGGTGCGATGCGTTGCTCAGGTGTCCCATTGTAAGATTCGTCAACAATAACAGCAGTCCAACGCGTTAAAACGCGGGCGAACGACGTGCGTAAATGGAAACGCCGGTGTCCCGTTGCGCGCTGCTCCGCTACGCTGCAGATGAAACCTAGTGGTTCAATATCTGTGTTAGTAACCAAAAAGATGGAGATTTAAATCCCACAAGGGTTGAATGATAAACTATCTCCATTTTGCCCTTGACCCAGACTTATTCAAGGAGACATTTGGAGTTGCTTTGGCTAAAAAGCGTCTCCAAACAAGTAGCTGTCGATTTGTAATGAATATCTAATGCCTGTGCAACCCAGATCTCCAAATGTCTCTCCTCGTCTGTCTGTGGCTCTGCTCAACGCCTTTTAAACCCGCCTCAGATTTCAGTCACGGCGCGTAACGCGCGCGGAGCCAACCCCACCGGTGTTCAGCAGCTCAGTTCAGTCCTTTAGTTTAGAGTACATACAGACAAACCCTCCGCCCACCCACCGGACCCTAGAGTAAACATCCCTCCTAAAGTCTGCTTTACGTGAAGATCAGCCTTGACACATTTCCATATTGTACAGAACCATAAATATTCTCACACTATATAACGCCAGTCATGTCAGGGCTGATTTATTTTTAAATACATTAAAATTAGGCCTAAATAATATGAGTGAATATAATATAAAGTATATAGTATAAAGTATAATATATCATTTAAATTGTCAACAACATGTCCCGGTTACCTTCCACTCTAAAGTTAAATGAATGATTATCATTCATTATTCCTCACCATTGTGAACAACTTTTAAAGCAGCCCATTTTAATGTCAAATATATTGTTTAAATAATGCATTCAATATATTACAAAAATAATATGTTATGTTAATTGTGTCAAGACACAAAACTTTTAAGTAGTTCATTGTTATGTAAAAAACAATGATACATTATTTAAATAATACAAACAATACATTACCAAAATAAATTTAAAAGGTGTAATATGACATTATATGACAGTTGTTTGACAACAGCTGAGAATAAATTGTAAACAGAATAAAACTTGCCACACGTTTTGAACTTTAAGACCTTTCCAGTCTTTTGCAATGACTAGATCAGCATTTAAAAAATGTAATTTCTTTTGAATTAAGAAGGATTCATTGATGTGACCAATTTGTGAATCATTTGAACAATTCATTTAAAATAACCAGCTCAAAAGAACGGTTTGCTCAAATCACACATCATAATGACTTGAGGACGTTTTACTGAACAAAAGAACAATATCCAGCCAATTAAATATTTTAGGGCTGAGCATAACAAAAGAATTGGTGGGAATCCTGTTTTAAATATGGTTGGAAAGAGCCGTCACAGTCTCAGACGAAGACAAAACAAAATGTTCTAGAAGAGTGAAAACAGGATTTCTGATCAGTAAATCAATCACACACACTTTACCACATGAAGCACATTTTAGGATTTGACAAAAGGATCTAACAAGAAAGACTTCTAAGCAGTAAACTAAGGCTGATTTGTTATAGTGTCCTAAAACTCCACATTCTTTCCAGTTGGTTTGAGTTTATTTAAACGCAGTTGTTCAATTTTATCAAGGCGATGTGAAAAAAGACTTCAGAAGCTTTAAGCAGTGAAGGGATTAAGCAGACAAAATGATAAATCATTCAAAATAAATCAAGGTATAGCTAAATTGCATGAATAGATTTGAGATTTGTTAATTGTCTGAAGAACTGTGAGTGGTAATTGCCTGTGCTAAATGCATCACTGGATAATGCACAAAAGTCATTCGTATGCTTGGCCAGATCTGGTAGGCAACTGATTCCTCTGAGCTGCATTTACATTATGGATCATTTGCTGACTCTCACTGTCTCAGTTTATTCAGCTAATGGCACTGGATGGGCAGCAGATCTGCAGATTTTGCTTCAGAACACATTTAACTTTGGACAAGGGACTCAACACAGGACCAGAATTTTAAAAACATCCTTAAAAATTAACATGCTTACAGGATGCATGATCTTCGACATTAAAAGGAATGCTTCGCAAATTGAAAATGTCCTCACCCTCAGGTCATCCGAGACGTAGATGAGCTTGTTTCTTCATCAGATTTGGAAAAATGTGGCATCCCATCACTTGCTCACTAATGGATCCTCTGCAGTGAATGGGTGCCGTCAGAATGAGAGTCCAAACAGCTGATAAAAACATCACAATAATCCACAAGTAATCCACACCACTCCAGTCCATCTCGTGAAGCCAAAAGCTGCGTGTTTGTAAAAAATCAATTCCATACTTTTACCTTTAAAACATAGTTTCTGGCCAAAATACGAGTCCATAATCTATAATAACATTTCCTTTAGAGATAAAGTCCATCACCTGTTGTCTCTCACATCAAAATACAACCATGTATTTGTTTAGAGCTGTTTTGGCTTGTAACCAGTGCTTGATCAGAGCATATTTCTCTCCTGATTCAGATGAGATTACTTTTTCACTGGAGGATTATGGATTATGGACTTGTATTTTACCTGGAGTTAAAAACATCTTAATGATGGATTTGTTTCTTACAAACATGCAGCTTTTGTCTTCTCCAGACGTTAACTGATGAACCGGAGTGGTGTGGATTACTTGTGGATTACTGTGATGTTTTTATCAGCTGTTTGGACTCTCATTCTGACGGCACCCATTCACTGCAGAGGATCCATTGGTGAGCAAGTGATGTAATGCTGCATTTCTCCAAATCTGATGAAGAAACAAACTTATCTACATCTCGGAGGGTGAGGACATTTTCAGAAAATTTAAATTTTTAAGTGAACTTGCTTCAACAACAAAAACATATATGAAACATTTTCACTTCCATTAGGTTAATAATCCTACACATTTCGCTATTCTCACTATATAGTTGCATTATATTATCTGCATTAAGTGTTTAGTTTTTTCTGCGGGCTATGAAACAGTTCTGAAGATCTCAGTAGCTGAAGCATTTAAAAACCCCTTTCTGGCAGTCCTTGTTGAATATACAACTAGTCATTGGCTATTAAAATGTATAAGTATCATTCATACATGACGGAGATGGAGTAATGGAACTGAATGTCTAACGTCATTGTTCTTTCTTTTTTCCGTGAGCCTAAGGGTAAGGTTTGTCAACCATTAATCCCTTTTCTACTCCTCTTTTTTTAGAGATAAGGAGGGATACGCATATAAAAGCCTATTAATACCCTTCCCATCCTGTGAGCCAGTCTTCTTCAAATATTTGCCTCACTTTGTCTGTTTTTTCTTCTTTTCGTTTTGGGTGCATTATACTCACCGTCTCTCTGCCAGCCGAATGCTTCCTCTCTCTGTCCATTTAACCATTTGTAGTAAAATTTAAATCACTAAGGAAAATGTGTAAGAAAAATATTACAAAAATAGCTCACCCCAAAAATATGAATTGTCATTAATTACTTGCCTTCATGTCACTCTTGAATGAAACATGGATCTTCATGCAGATCTTCAGTTCAGAGGGATCACATCTGATCTGAAAACTTTCAAGTAGCCAATATTTAATGTGAATTTTTTTATTTATTTAAATAATACATGCAATGTATTACAAAATAATACAATGATATATAATAAAAAATACATACAATATAATACAAAAATAATTATATTATTTAAATATTAAAACTAAAACACTCCAGCAACTATCTAGAAAATATAATTCAATTAATTTATGCAAAATACAATGATCACTTCTTTTAAATGACATTTACTTATGAGATTTGCCCTCAAAAAAATATCAAACTCAAAGAAAAGGCACAAAAAAATCCAAGAAACACCTTGAACACTCTAGCAATGCCCTTGCAACTACCAAAAACACCCCAGCAATGGCATAGAAACACCCTCAGAAACCACCTAGCAATGTCCTAGCAACTCACTCAGCAACTGCAAAGCAACACCACAAAAACTGCCTCAAACACTTTAGGAACCACATAGCAACACTCAGGCAACCAACCGCCCAGTAACATGATAGCACTCCAGCAACTATCTAGAAAATATAATTCAATTTATTTATGCAAAATACAATGATCACTTCTTTTAAATGACATTTACTTATGAGATTTGCCCTAAAAAAATATCAAACTCAAAGAAAAGGCACAAAAAAATCCAAGAAACACCTTGAACACTCTAGCAATGCCCTTGCAACTACCAAAAACACCCCAGCAATGGCATAGAAACACCCTCAGAAACCACCTAGCAATGTCCTAGCAACAATCCAAAACACCCCAGCAAACAACATAGCAACACCCTAGGAAACTACCTAGCAATGCCCTAGCAACCATCTAAAACACCCCAGCAATGGCATAGAAACACCCCAGGAAATCACTTAGCAATGCCCTAGCAACCACCAAAAACACCCCAGCAACAACATAGCAACACCCTAGGAAACCACCTAGCGTTGTCCTAGCAACCATCTAACAGCCCAGCAACAACATAGCAACACCCTGAAACCACCTAACAATGCCCTAGCAACCATCTAAAAGACCCCAGCAAATGCATAACAACGTCCTAGGAAACCACCTAGCAATGCCCTAGCAATGCCCTAGCAACAGTCTAAAACACCCCAGCAAATGCATAACAACGTCCTAGGAAACCATATAGCAATGCCCTAGCAACCATCTAAAACCCCTCAGCAATGGCATAGCAACACCCCAGGAAACCACCTAGCAACCATCTAAAACCCCTCAGCAATGGCATAGCAACACCCTAGGAAACCACCAAACAATGCCTTAGCAACCATCTAAAACACCCCAGCAACAACAAAGCAACATACCAGGAAACATTTTACTCTTGAAAATATTTTTTGTTTTCTTTATGCAAAATACTATTTATCATTTCCTCTGAAATGACATTTGTTTGTGAGATTTGCCCTCCAATAAATACCAAACTCACAAAACAAGGTCGATGTAATATATTGTAATTAAGCGATACGTCATGGTAACACATTGCGAAGACATCTCTGACGACGGGGAACTGCGACTGTCCCGCTGAAAACAAGCCACATGCATTATCTGTGCGCTTCCAGCGGTGAAGCTGAAAAATCATTCTGATCTCTGTGACCAGGACTATAAATTACAAGCCGGACATCACAGTCTATAAAAAAAGAGTCCAAAACTTCCCATAGACACTCTATTCCCAGAAAGAGAGCATCCTGCGGTTCCAGTCTGGACAATGGGAAGTGTGTGTGGGAGCCCAAGATATCAGTTCCTGATGTTTGACTGCAGGACGACCCCGTATGAGTTCAAGCGTTTCATGGGATTATTTAAAATTATATTAATGATATTTGCCAAGTCAAGAATGATTATTAC